CCCTCCCTGCACCCCCCACCGCTCAGATACCTGCAACAAGGCCATCACGCATGGTGCATGAGGATGGAAAACTGTCAGATGACGATTGCCCCACAATTGTAGAAAACCCGGAAAATAACGAAACAATTGCGTGACATCGGTTTGGACGCGTTGTCGGGGCCCCGAACATGCTGCCGATGCAGCACGACACCAAAAGTGTGCCTGGCCTGCGTCTGCCTTGAGCCCTTGGTTTCCCCAAACCCGATACGACGTATGGACAGACACTAAAGTCGCAGAAGTCAATAAATGTATGCATATATGCTGCCTCGTAGCCGCACAAGTTGCCTCAGGGCCGGTGCGGGCCCCCAGGGCGCGTGTCCGATGAACACGCGGCCTGGGGGCCCGTCAGCGACCGTCGGCCCCACGGAACAATGGCCGTGTGCAGGCGCAGCACGACCATTGTACCTCATGAATTGGCAGCGTGTGAAAAAAAAAAAAAAAAAAAAAAAAGTATGTCTTGGTCGTGGCCCTCTTGTGTAGAGCGCTGGGCCGGCCAGTCCTGCCTCTGCGTGGCCTGGGAAACGTCCCGCGTAGTCTGGAGGCACGGTAGGGGCCCCAGTCGTGCTGCTGACGCAGCAGGGCGCAAAAGTGCGCGTCGCCTTTCTGTCCCTTCACCCCTTGATTTCCCCATGCATGAAACGACGTATGAACAGACACAAAACTTGCAGCAAATAAAGAAGTCCATAAATATATACATGTATGCTGCCTAGCAGCCGTACGTGTGGCCTTTGGGCGCTGTGGGCCCCCAGGGCGCGTGTCCGATGGGCACGCAGCCTGGGGGCCCCTCAGCGACCGTCGCACCCCTGGAATAATGTCCGTGCGCAGGCGCAGCATATATGAACGAACCTCACGAATTGGTGGCATGAAAAAAATAATATATACAAAAAAAAAAAGTCTGTCTGCCTTAGCCGTGGCCCATGTATATAGAGCGCAGGGGCGGTGAGTCCTGCCTCTGCGCGGCTTGGGAAAAGCCCCGCGCGGTCTGGACGGCCGGATGGAGCCCCAAACGTGCTGCTGATGCAGAAGAGCGCTAAAAGCGTGCCTGGGATCTGTCGGCCTTGAACCCTTGGTTTCCCCACGCCCGGAGAGAGAGAGAGAGAGAGAGAGAGAGAGAGAGAGAGAGAGAGAGAGAGAGAGAGAGAGAGAGAGAGAGAGAGAGTAACAAAAAAATAATTTTATTCTTGTTTGTTTATTCCTGTCTTCTGTTATATATTGCAGTAGGGCGAAGGCGGTTCTCTTTGTGTATTTGGGCGAGTTGCGTACGTCAACATGTCCGGTGTAGATGGTCGTGAGAGTGCCAGCCGTCATGGCGAGCCTGGTTTGTTGGCAACTCCGGGCTCGGAAGTCGTCCATGCAAATCGACCACCTTTCACAACAACGTGAGGCATTTTGGGAAATTCGCCCGCACCGCACTGCGCTCAGCATGGCGTTCTTCACTCATCTCCGATTGCGACAGCGATTGACCGTGATTTTTCAAAGAGACGGCGCACATCCCCGTCTATTGATACTTTTGATGCCCCTCCAGCACCTGCGCGGTTTTCGCCATGCGCTCCGCCATATGTGTCACCGAACTTCGCTGCACCCGTGCTCATGTCTTCCCCCATACTTCCCCAACAAACACGTTCGGGAAATAGAGCCTCCGTTCATGTTGCACGCTCTCTGTTCAATGCTGTCACACAACATCCTTCTGGTGTTGTTCCCGTGCCAAGTTTCACTTCTCCGGATGCCCCATCCTTCAGTTCTGGTCAGGTATGGCGACGTCCGTTCATTGCAGACTCTATGGTGCCTCACTACGCCGCTTCACATGATGCGCCACGCTTGGATTGTGCACCGATGTTGCCTGCTCCGCTTCCTTCTCCTTGTGACGGTCACGTGCTGCAGCAGTCAATCAGCGGAGCTGCACTTGGTATGCGAGTTTTGCGACAACCTCCCGTCGCTGTGCAAGCGCATTCCGAAGGTGGTGGGCAGTCTGGTCATTTGGATGTGGTGGGCGGGACGGCGGCATTGTCAGCTCCCACAGTTGCACCACACCGTGACCCCTCTCGGTCAGCGGAATCTTGCCCTCTTACAACGCCGTCCACATCGAGCGCCGGAGGCACGCCGAGGGAAAAATACATTTATCTCTCATTGCCGAGCACGATGAGGATGAAGACGTTGAAGGAGGCTGTTAGCAAAAAGCACGGGAGAAGCGTAAACATCGGTGCCCTCGTTGATCGGTTGCTGTTTTGGTCTTTGCCATCTATACGGTTAGAGTATGGGGACGATGTGGGTGACTCAATCGAACGATCTTTGCCTGCTTCCGCGAAAGCAACTGTGTTCAGATTTGATGACGCAGTGGCGTCGGACTCATCGGTGGAGATTGACACAGGAGATGACTGCGGTAGTGCATGTGCTGCTGGTGATGCTTCGGTGGGAGGTGGCCTCCCATCACATCGTTTTCAAGGGAGTCGTAGGCATGGCTGCCGTGGTCGTCCACCTGGGAGGTCACAACGTGGAGGCAGGAGCGCAGGGCTGACAAAAAGACGAATGTGGTTTGACGGGGTTGATGGCAATGAGAACTTGGGTCCGATGCACGAGCGGGGTGATGTCCTTCGTCTGATGTCAATGTGGGATATGCCTAACAAGCCTGATTTGGTTTTTATGGAACCTGTGAAGCTTTTGCAGCTCTTGGGCTTGTTTGACCTGCGCTGCCCGTCTCATGGTGCCGCTGGTCTAGTAGACGTGGAGTCTATATCTTATCCGGCACACATCTGCTGTCTCCGGTTGACGTGCACGAAAGGATGCGTCTGGGCGTGGAATTCATGTTTCGTAAAAAATGAGGTGTGGAAGTCGAGGGTTGAGCAGCAATTGTTTCATTCGGCGGTTAGTACGGGCACAACATACACGGTACTCAACTCGTTGTGCACGGGCCTGGGGATGAAGACTGTGAACAAGGGCAAATTTTACAAGTTTTTCTCAGACGTTGGCGGCACCAAGGGTGGTTGGAACACCAAAACTGTGAAGCTTGCCTGCAGGTTTTTTGATGCAGCAATCCGCACGGTGATGGAAGACGGGAAACCTGTCACACTAATGATCGATGGTCGGTATGACTCCTCGCGTTCCTCGCAACATTGCACGGTGACAGCGATGGATTTTCATACTCGACTCATTGTTGGGATCGTGACACTGCGTCCGAAGTATGGAGGGAAGGCATCGTCACAACTTGAACCTCCCGCTGTTATGCGACTTCTACAAGAGTTGGAGGAACGTGGGTTGGCAACACAAGAGGTTGTCACAGATGATTGTCAGGCTCTCGGTCCGGGTTTTCGGGAGAAGGGTCTTCGTTGGCAGAAGGACGTATGGCATAAAGTTAAAAACCTTGCCAGAAATTTCTCAAAACACGTGAAGCTTGGGAAGGCAACGAAGAAAAAAAATCTTGAAGAATGTGAAACAGAGGCGCAGATTATGCAAATGAACAAGGAGGACATTGTTGTTGCGCATGACAGGCTGTTTCCTAACGAGAAGCTCACTCCCAAGCAAAGAAGATCCACGAAGCCCGTTATTGTGGACTTGGTGTTCAAGAAAATGTACCCGGAGGGGAATGCAAGGGCATCAACACGTGTTGTTGATCCGGACGGCGTTTCGGAGTACCACCTTCTTGAGTTGAGAAGGTGGTTCATGAAAGCTTGTGAGTTGAGTGCGGGGGAGGGGCTCGATGATGCCAGCACTTTGGCATCTGACATTCATATGCTGGTGGATCATTGGGCTGGTGACCACAGTCGGTGTGTTGGCGAGCGACAGGCGTTGTGTGAGGTGGCTGGTGGCCCGTGTCGCTTGCCTATGTTCTCAATTGCGGCCGCCGCATACAAAGATGCTTCATATTTCTTCGGCAGGCAGTGTTCAGTGGAGAAGATGTCTCATTACACATTGAACAGAGCCACGTCCGCTGTTGAAACATTTCATGCGAACATCAACAAGTACTGCTCGAAGAGAATTCATTTCGAGAAGTCGTACGACGCACGCGTATGCCTTGCGGCACTTCATTGGAATTGCAATGCATGGAGAGACCCTATCGACTTTGTGCCTCGGATACCCGCTGGGACCTCCATCCGACAACGGCCTGGTCACATGCACAACAACCAGCCTGTCGACCTGTCTTGGTGAGATCGTCTGGCGAAGTACATGTTCGGGTCCTCCAGAGTCTCGGATTGGGCACAACATTTGCTATGCCATGACGACGCCGATATTTTGGCAGACGGTGCCCCATCAGAGCCTCCGTCGCCGCCTCACGACATGTACAAGAAACTTGAAGTCGCTCGTGTGCAACGTGACGAACATGGAGCCCTCCTATCTGCCAGTGATGTTGACGGTGTCGAGTCGGTGGATTCTAGTATGCAAGTCGATAGGTTTGTTAATGTTGACAGTGGGTTGTCGTTGGATGGCGACGACAATGGTAGTTCACCCAACAACGAGCGATACACACCGTCGTACGAGCTCGTAGACAATTCTAGTGATATCAACGTAGTGAGCCAATGACGATGACGCCGATGTCTTTGTCACATCCGATGTATCTGTGCCCCACAAACAACTTTCGGTTTGTTGAGAACATGCAAGCATACGACTTCCTGTGGTAGAGAGTATTCTTGTACACGTCTCTGTTTTTTTTTTTACTGTTTTCGTAGTTATGTGACTTCATTGTATAGTTCATAGTTTTGCAGGTGTCACCACGGGCAGTCAATGTACTACAGCCGTCGCTGTTGCTTCGCCCCGCGCGTTCAACACGCTATCAATGCACATCACGTGTCTTCCTTGTCGCCTCGCCCGGACGACCCGCTGCCTATATTGACGGTCGTCCTGCTGTCGTTGTTTGCAGGTCACCACGGGAGGTGAAAACAAGCTATGGCGCATGCACTTGTACACACAAAAGAAAAGAAATGACATACTGGTCCGTGGAAACACGTAGAGTTCATTCAAGTTATGAACATGACTATCACAATATACGATGTGTACAGACAATTGTATTTGCAGCCACGGCTTCCGATCTCCTCTTTACTTCGCTTTGCTGCCATTCTTCCTTCGCAGGCAACCACGAGGGAAACTGCATTTAGCACCCCCTGACTGCCGGCCGTGGTTCGGCATTCGCAGGTGGGTCCTCAGGGGGCAAAATGAAACCTCGCGGATCCGGATCTGGCCACTGACCTCGAATAGCTCTCTCAAAGGATTCCGACAGCCTTTGCCTGAATCTCACAAAACCGCAAATGCTTGCAAATGCCACATACGCTCTGTGTCGATTTTGTTTCGGTTGGAGGTCGGCTCGACCGATAGAAGATTCATGTAGTCTTGAAGGCGGTGGTCAACACGTGCATACTGAACAGCCTCGTCCATGTGTGCTGCGAGCTCGGGCCACCGACTTCTTATTCCTTGAACGTTTATATCTTCGTCACGAAATGGATCCTCAACTGTCCCTTCACCAAACACCACAGCATCGTTGCGCACGCCAGCGAGACGTCTCCTGCGAGCCATTGCTGCCATATTGACTTTTTTTCTTTTTCTTTTGGTTTATCGAGGTCACAACTCCGCTGCAAAATAGTGAATGCAAGTGCAATGAACAAGTTCCCAAATAAAGACGTGATGTTGTTATCTCCGTGGCACATATGATATAATAGCAATAGTGGCATGGAAGTTGACAGCTTACGTGATAGTGTCGGGATCGCGTGACGAAGCTGGACTTCCACAACTTGGATGTGTGTGTGTGTGTGTGTGTGTGTGTGTGTGTGTGTGTGTGTGTGTGAGTGTGAGAGAGAGAGAGAGAGAGAGAGAGAGAGAGAGAGAGAGAGA